TGAAAGAATGCCCAAGTGAAAACCCAAGGGATGCATAAATAGTCATTCTCTACAGCTTAATGGAATTGTAAAGTAATCCTCCTGAAACATCCGCAATTAAAAGCCTCAGTATCAGAATTCTGAACATAGTTTTGAGCCTCAGCATTTAACTGGTTTTGAGCACTTGGAGAGGACTCAAAAAGAGCAATAAAAATGGAACATGGGTTAGAAAATTGGCCCTTATGAGGGAAGGGATAAAAACTGACCTTCTGTATGATGCCTAAGGAAGTTTAGCCTTAACAAGAGAAAGGATGGGTTTTGAATCACAACGCAGCATAAGTGACAAAGTAATACATCTCAGTTTCTTCTCAGAACAAAGCAAGAGGGAAGTGTAGTTTTCCCTGTCACTCTGTGTCTCTGTAGTAGGTTCCAGGAAGACAAGAGAGCCCCTCATTCCTCCACCAAAGGAAGTTGCAGCCCATACTGATGGTCAACAAATGCTGAATAAAATGATAAGCTCTCCACCTTACTGCATTTATTTTAGTGACTTACCAAAGCTAACTCTTATCTACCTTTAAGCCAAACAGAAATGTTTTGGGAGCCTCTAAAATTTATACAGTACACTAAAGTTTTTATTTGTGATTCCATGAATTTTAAATTTAAAAACAAAACACAAAAACTTAAAACCATAATGTCTAGTGCTACTGATGATTTGGGAGATTACGTGAAATGAATGGATTAGATCATGAGAGAACATATTTAGTAGTATCTATCAATATATGTAAAATGACTTTCATTTCTAAAAACCAGTCTTGTGAAAATAATCCTAAGCAATATAAAACAACTTTCCTATATGTTATGCTCTTGTTCACACTAATAAAAATCTAGAGGTAAAGTAAAGGCCCATGTAGAAAAAACATGGCCACGGGATAAATCATTCAACAGTAGCAAAGACAAGGTAAAAATCACCCCATAATATATAAAACAGCTTTGCTAATATTTAGGATTATTTTCAAGGGGATTACTAAAGTCCAGAGAACTTGAAAGATTCCCCCCAAATCATGTTTTTAAAAACATATAATGCAAATTAGAATGGCTTCTATCAACCATCTTTTTTCTTTGAGACATGTTCATTTTTTATTTGTATAGAAATCATTTTCTTAACATTGACACTTCTCTACTATCAAGTGAGTGGCAATATATATATTTGAATTTTCAGCTATATTTAGACTTTTAAAATTTATTTTAACTGATAGATTAAAAAATAAAACTTAGCTGGCACAGTGGTGCACATCTATAATCCCAGCATCATGGGAGGCCACAGCAGGAGGATTGCAAGTTCAAAGCCAGGCTCAGCAATTTAAGAAGGCCCTAAGCAACTTAGTGAGACCATGTCTCAAAATTTTTTTAAAAAAGTAAATAAAAGGGCCGGGGATGTGGCTCAGTGGTTAAGCACCCCTGGGATCATTCACTGATACCTATAATTAAATCATAACCATATTAATGGGAATCATGTAACATTTAGATAAATATATACATTGTGCAGTATTTAAATCAGGTAAAACATACCTATCTCCTCGAACATTTATCATTCCTTTATAATGAAAACTTTAAAGTCCTTTCTTCTGGATTTTAAAAATGTATAGTACATTGTTGTTGTCTAAGGTCACCCTTATATGACAATGTGCAATAGCACCCCAGAACATCTTGCTCTTATCTAACTATAATTTAATATCCATGGATCAACTTTTCCCCATTCCTTCCCTTTACCCTCCTCTCCCTAGCCTCTGGTAACCACCATTCTACTCTCACCTGTTATTTCTTTTTTTCCATCTATATCTATGAAACTAAATACCTTGCTTTTATAAACTACCAATTTAATGAGAGACACCGAAAGAAGACTGTCACTAGAGATTTGTTTACCTGTGACAAAACCTAAGGGGACCATATCTGTCATTTATGTCACTCTGTCTAGCCACATTATCCAAACTCATAAACTATTATTACATTTAATCTGTGTTGGTTTTTTTTCATACATAGCCTCATTTTCCATTATTCTTAAGGACAGCTTCAGTGGCAAAAGTCACCAGCTTACAGGCATCATCCTAAATCAGATGCTACAGATATGAAAGGAATCTGTGAGCCCTTCTCTCTTTTCTTTTTTCCCTAATGGATCATAGCTCTTTAATTCGTTGAACCTAAAATGGCCTCAGAATCCTTCTCACCACAGTATTACAAATAGCCACAAAGGATCAAAAACCTGAGGGCTAAGGCTATCTACCATACTTGAACTCAATAATAAATCAGAAAATTCATTTCCTCATATTTTTGAAATTGATTTCTCCATTGGTCTATCAAAACTATACCCCTTCAGGATCAGTAGTACACAGAAACTCAACATGTGTCAAGTCTTCTAAAATATTCAATACTAAGCCCTTTTATTTTAAATGTCTCTATAAAGCAAATAATGAAAGATAGACAGGAACTCACTAAAAATATAAGGTTCTCTATGGTGTGCATGTGTTTGTATCATTTCTTAGAATTTCACCAATTTACCCAGATAATTGCCGAAACAGAACTGAAAATAATCCAAGAATGATCTTCTGGGACATAACACTCTATATATAAATAATGAATTATTTCTTTTACAGAAACAGGGATACTTGTAGATAAAAGAAGCCACGGAATTTTCCTCTAAAAAGAGAATCCTAGAAAACTAGGTAACATCCCACCCAGATTCTTTTAAAGCCTCCCCAGACTTACCATTTATTACCCCCAATAAATACTGAACAAATAGACATGAATTTAAAACAAAGCAAAACACATCATGCCTCTCAGAATACTGAACACATAGACATGAATTTAAAGCAAAGCAAAACACATCATGCCCCTTAGAAGTGCCTGAGCCTGTGCCACCTCTAAGTGTTTCATGGTGTTTATCTGGAGGGCCTCTGCCAAAGAAACCTTTGGGAATCCCACATTAAGCCAGGCTCAAGGCATTGAGTGTGCCTAACAGGTATATGAACAACACGCTTATTATGTCTCTTCCCTGGTGAATCTCACCCGGAATATGACAGAACAATAAAAGCAACCTCAGGCCCAGAAAGCATCCCCATTTTCCATATAAAATAGCATCTGTTTTTCCCATGCTGACTCTGCAAAGCAGCTTATTTACAAATATATAAATAGCTGCAACTTTACTCCAGTCTCATTGAAAAATCAAAATGGCATCATGCAGGAGAAGCATCCTAGCATACTTGGCTCAGTGAGTGAAATGTAAATGGATAGGAGCCAAGCTACTTGACACTCACTAGTCAGCTTAACCAGATACCCTCCAGTTTCCTGTAGTGAAGGTCCCAGGGTTCTGCTCCACAGAGCCAGAGAATTCATTTATATTGATTGCCTAGGGATTGGATAGCGATTTAGAGCCAAAGCCCAGGAAACAAATTTCAAGTCATGCTTAATATTTATAATCTCATGGATTCACAGGGGAATAGCATTGCCTAAAAGTCACAGCAAGGTTTCCAATATAGCTACTTAAAATTAGCTAAGTCTTTTTTCACTCAAATCCAATGAATTTTAAAAGATTTCACTCCAATCTTTTTTCCACCTGACCAGAATTACAAGAGTTTAAATAAGCAGGAAGAAAAGCTGCATTTTAATTTTTGGAACACAATATACTGCCTTTCCAAAATTCATTAAAGGTATCAACTACTAGTTTAGAAAGAAATATATGTATGAGAAATATTGTGCATCTTGACTTTTCTTTACTCCATATGCCTACTAAACATGGAAATGCTGTGCTGTCCACAATTCCTGTCTATAAAGCTACCTAAATCGCAACACATGACATTATTGGTTTGTACAGTTACATCTGCTGAAGCATCCACCATATCCCCAATATAAAATCCCTCTCTTCCCTAACATTCGTGTGTTTTACCAATTAATGGGTAGTTTACTTATAAGGAACCATGTTATTAAAGTAAAATTAACTAAAGTATCACAATACAGGAGGTTTAAAAGAAACTTTTCTCAAAGAAAAAGTGTTTGAAAGTTAGGTTATGCACAGCATCTGAGATGATTGATGCTATTTCCCTTAGATAATTCATATGTTGAGATTATCAACAATTTTTTGTAGAGGCTACCCATCAGGAAATAGCAGCATTCATAGGTTTTCCCACAAAACCACCTATGTTGCATGTTAAACCAAGTGGAATTTTGATGCTTTTGTCATGGTAGTGTTTTCATACACAGGGGTATTCATGCCTGACTCAAGGAATAAATATCATGATCATATATGTTCCCTGCCTTCCTGGTGACTCAACTTTCTGAATGATATTGAACTCATCCTCAAAATATTGCCAACCATACTGAAATTATTATTGCCCTGAACAGTTCCTGACCAATTGCCATTATTTAAAAGGTAACTTCTCTTTAAAAAAATAAAAATACAAAATTCTAGGTGTAACCATAGGAAAAAACAAAATAACAAAGTAAAAATAGTAAATTCATTTTAAATGAAAAGAATATCAAGATAAAAAATAAAACTGCAGAACAGTTGATTTTACTTTGTATTCTATGTACTACAGTGAATGCCTAATAGCTAAATTCTTTTAACTTATGTGACAAATGGTAAATGTAGAAATAAATTGAATAGATAACAGTTTTCTGTCTCTGAATTTACATTGTGTCTTGAGTTTTAAAGTTTACTCACATTTTAAAACCTAATATTACTTATGCCTACTTTAAGTATAAATAATATTTCTTCAAAAATGTATTTAATTACTATCCTCTAAAGATTATGGCTCTGTACATATAAAAGGTATTTCATATACTATAATACAAAAATCAGATGACAAAAAATTTCATAAATAAAAAATACATAAATAGCACAGCCTTCGAGTAGGGGATAAAACTATTGAAAAGGTTTTGCACTTTTTAAACAAATTATTTTGAAATTTCTTTAGAACATAGTTTTGTAGCATTATTAAAATACAAATAAAAATTATTATTTTACTTACATAGTATCTCTAATAAGAAGTGAACTTCCCAATTTGAAACAGGTTTTATCCCCTTCACAAAATGCACGTCTCAGAGAAAAGCTCTCTCCTAGATCAAAACCTGTAAAATGAGACACATTATTTAATCCAGCAGTTTTATTAAATTTAAATATACTCACAAAAATATTGATTTTCTTAACAAGGATTTTTTTGTTGTCTTTATCTATAGGCTGATTTACTTCAAATGAAACCCTGATGTTTGAGATCAGCAAAATTCCTTTGTTTTATCTTTTCCTCCTTTTAGGGTACAGAAGGATGAAACTCATTTTGTATATAGAATATGTAGCCTTCTTTCTGAAGAAAAGATCACAAATATATTTCAAAAGACTAAAATATTAGTATCTTCTGACATACATATTACCTAGGTAAATAGAGTAGCTCATTGTAGCATCTCTGAAGTGTAGACAAAAAGTTAGACAAAAAAATAATACAGTATTCATTTTCAATCTAAACAGCTCTTAAAAATAATACTTTAGGAGAATGCATATTGATGTGGGAAAATACTCGGAATTCAGATATAATACGTGTATTATTAATATGTTTGTGTGAGTGTGTGTGGGTTTAAGAGAGAATATGAGAGGGAAATAGAGAAGGACAGAAGAAGGTGATGGAGTGGAAGAGAAGGAGGAAGGAAGAGAAGAAGAAAGATTTGTAGGAATGTTATGCCAAAATGCTATTGGTGATTTTATCTGGGTGGTAAGGTCTTCTTTGCCATAAATTTCCCTTTCTCTTTAAAAAATTTCTATGGTGGATACAACTCCTATAATTTTAAATAACTTTTCTCCCCAACAGTATGAAGTGTTGTTGATCTTAAATTAAATGATACATAAAACTACTTTCAGCATTTTTCTGCACCATCTGCTTTTAATTTTTATGTTAATGCTACAGTCTTCAGTTGCAATATTTTTTTAAAAAACACCTACAATGTACTGCATTTTTGGTGATCATTTTACACTAAATCCTACTTTACCAAAGATTATAAAGCTTACCTGAAACTTCAAGTTCATTTCTGTTGTCTTGTGTGAACTGATATCCCACTGTCCTCAGAATAGGACACTGTTTTTCTGAAGAAAAAAAAATATATAAGTTATTTGTACCACATTTTCCAATCCAGTTTTTCAAATCAATTTGAATCTTATCATATAGTCAGAAAATTAAAATAAAAATGAAAACAAAAACAAATAGAACCACTTTGTTAAATTCTGTAAAATGTGGATAAAGATATTCCCCACCTGGCTTTGTGGCTGTGAGGATTCCATGTGGTTGCTTATGTAAAGTGCTTAGGATACTGCCTGGTACATAGTGGGTACTTCTTAGTGTTAGCTATTATAACTATCATCACTACTATTCTAACACTCCAACTGTTCCTATGTATTTGACATTAGGAAGTTGGCTGAATTTAAGTACATTGTTAAACTTTTATATCCAAAGCATACTCTAATAGTTAAACAAGTTTACTACTACTATATTTTAATATAAATTTGATTCAGGTTTGGGGATTGTAAGGTCCTTGCTTAGCATCTGGACAGCCACCTTAAGTGACAGCTGCCATTTTAAGAAAAATTTCACTTTCCTGCCCAAGGGCATTTCTGAGAAAGGCTCAACACTCCCTCATACCAACCCAACCCTTAATGGCCTGCAGTAGTACCTGCCCAGCTCTAATCCCTGTTTTGCCTCTCTCTGTCTTTGGAGAGTTGTGCCTTTATTTGTAAGCTCTGATGAATAAACTCTCCTGTGTATCTCTGCCTGGTCTCCATCTTTCATTCCTTGCTCCCCCATCTTTTAGTTCCTCACTTTCCATTCAGGGATTAAGCAATATTAAACTTTTAGAAGAAAAGGGGACATGTATGGAAATAATTAACATATAATTTAAAAGCCGCAGAGCAAAGATCTCTGCCATACAAAAAGTAGTCTAAAATGAAAAAAAAAATGAGATGAAATCATTGAAAAAGTGTTCATTATGTGCCAAGGAATCAGTGCTATTCACAGAGAAAAAAGATAAAACCAGTCTCTACTCACAATGAATTTACATGGTCAATAATACCATACTACCATTACATAATAATGTATATACACACACTGATATTTAAACATCTGAGTACATATTTAAATCTAATTCAGGCTGGGTACTGTAAATATAGTACTTAATTCACAAAAAAAATGCAGCCAATTTTTTTATTATGTCAGGATAACTATTCAATTAGGTGGCTAAAATCTTAAACCAAATCAATAATATATTTTGGCATCATGTAATCATAAGTTTAATTTGCTAGGTCTAAAATTTATGTCTGAGTTTTATAACTTAAAAGTTTTTCATATAGACAGGAGATAAACTGTTTAAAATAAAATTGATCTTCTGCTCTGTGAGAGTAGAAATTGCTGATCATCCAGTTCAATGGCTAAACTTCTCAGCCCTTCATTTGACAAGCATATCACTGGCCTTCGCCATGGTGACAAGTCATCATTTTGATATATTTAAGAAGAATAAACCATATTCTAAATAATGCTGTCAATCAGATTTAAAAGTAAGAAACAAATAAAATGTAATATACATTTTGGATACACAATTTGCAAAGTGAAATTATAGTACTAAATAATTTTGGAGGTTACTTCACTACTTTGAAACTCTACCTCATAGATCTGAAGATGGCATATCCTATTCTAAATAATAGTAAAATCACCAGATATTTTATAAATATTACCGATTTTTCCTGAACCTATAGTTTTTTTTTTTATTAAAACCCAATATCTCACCAAAGATTTCTACACTAAAAACTAGGGAATGTTGCTGAGGAAAAACTAAAGATCTAAATAATTCATGGGATAAACCAAGTATTTAGATTGGAAGACTCATTGTTATTAAGATGTCAATTCTTAGCTTTATCCCTAGATTCAGTGCAATGCCAGTTAAAATCCCAATAGATTGGAGAGTGCGTATGTGAGTGTCTGTATGAGAGAGAGACAGAGAAAGAGAGAAAACCAACAAGCTGATATTCAAATTATTATGGATATATATATATATATATATATATATATATATATATATAAAGCAAAATCAAAGAACATATTGAAAATTTAAACTATCAGACATTTTTAGTATGTGGCATGGATGCACATATAGAGAAAAAGATCAATGAAACAGACTAGAAGGTTTAAAGATCTGTGTACATATAGTCTCCTTATTTACTCCAAAACTATCATTGAAATTCAGTGGCAAAAGGATGATGTTTGAATAAATGGTGATGGTCAAAGAGATATCCATATAAAAACCACTGAATCTTGATCCTTGCTTCAAAGACAACAAAATAGATGCAGGTAGAATAGTAAATCTTCACAAACTTGTAGCAAAGATTTTTTTGAAAGGAACACAGGAAGCATTACTCACAAAAAAAGATAAATGGGACTTCATTAAAATTAAAATCTTTATTAATCAAAATACATTAGAAGAGGCCTGGGAATGTGGCTTAGTGGTTAAGTGCCCCTGAGTTCACTCCCTGGTACAAAAAAAAAAAAAAAAAGACATTAGAAGAGTGAAAAGACAAGCCATAGACCAGGAGAAGGTATCTGCATACATACACCCAATAAAGCATCATATCCGGAATATACAGTGAGCTCCCATAAATCAATAAGAAAAATATCGAAATGCTTATTTTAAGTTTGTCCAAAAAACTTAAGCACTTCAAAAATGAATATTCAAATTGTCAACCCACTGCTTGTGGAAGTGAAAATTACTATAATCACTTCAGAAAACTGTTCAGCAGTATTTATGAAGGTTAAATACACATGAATTCTGTGACTTGGAAATTCAATGGCCCAAAAGAAATGACAGCAAAAACAATGAGTGTAAATGACCCTTTTACATAAGATATCCATGACGGCATTATTCCTAATAATCTAAAACTGAAAACAACCCCAAAGTTCATCAGCAAGATGTTGGTATATACAACAATAAATTGTATAGCAATAAAAATAGAACAAACTAATGATACATGCAACAACTGGATGAATCTCACAAACAACATGAGGCAAAAAATATATATATAATTCCTCCCCAAATATGTGCTGCCTAATTCCATCTACATGAAGTGCAAAGACTGCATAACTAATCTATGTCAAAGCAGTGGTTATCCTGATGGGGTGTCAACTGGTCGACTGGGAGCATATACAGAGAAGCTTTCTGGGGTTCTGGAAGTGCTCTCTATTAGAGTAATAGTTAAACAGACCTATAAATACATACGTTAAAACTCCTTGCACTATCCACTTAACATTTGTTGACTTCCATGTGTGTAAGTAACACTTCAACAAAAGAGGAAAACAGCATTTCTATGAGAAAATATTTGAAGCTAAACCTTATTCTTATAAACAAAAATCCTAAATTCTCATCAAATTTTTATTATGGCCATGAATGACTATAACAAATAAAAGACTTTACAATATATGTATGCTTCAGCAGATAATTGGCAAAATGAATCTTCAGACAACAGAAAGGAACTTCCCACTGTAACACTTTCCTAATGAGGTAGAGGTATGTTGGCCTATTTCCAATTTGGAAACAGTATATATGTTATTTAAATTCTTCCAAGGACTTTGTGAAAATATAATGCAATAAACCTGTCACTTTGAAATGAATGGAATTCAACATTTCCAGCAATATTTATGTAAGTATTTCTCCATTAAAAGTCTTTAGCTTATGAAAATCAAATGTCATTTCATACAGAACACGCTTTGTTGTGAAAAGTTGGACAGAACAAATTAAAGCTAAATGTTGGACAGTACAAATTAAAGCTAAATAATGTTAATTATCTGTGCCTTAAGATTTAAGGCACAATAATAGTAATGCCTGAAATCTGATAAATCCATTGCATAAAGTCGCAAGGCTAGGGGAAGTGGCAATCGCAAGTTGAATATGCTAATTTATTTACATATCAACATATTCATTTTAATATAAAGTAAAGCACAGTTTAAAGTAAATGTACATGTACCTTAACCATTTACAGGTAAGATTCAAATATACGAATATTGTGTCAGGTAGACAGAGACCAAGCACTGTTGCAGTGTTTCTTCAAAAGTCCTCTGGAATATTTCAAAAGTAACGACTGAAATTTCTCTCCAAAAAATGTACTGCTTAGAGAATTCTAATCAGCAGATTTTTTTTCAAAAGCAAATACAAATGTCTTTTAAAAATTCATGCTAAGATGTTAATGACTGTCGGATCCACTTTTCTTCTTCCTTGGAAAATTTAAAGGACTGAAGGGGTATTAAAAAGAGCCAAAGGAAACAGAAAGCTAGGCAGCTAGATCAGACTTGTGTATTCCATGATTCCATTAATTATCTACAAATAAAATACACAATTCTTTTTTAGTTTAAAAAATTTAGAATCCCCTCATCATCCAAGGGAAGCAGACCATGACTATTCAACGTCAGAGTTGAAATACAACACGTTTCCCATAAACAAACATATTTTCTGCATATCTTTTCAAAAACATGTTAAATAATAGCATATCTAAGAAACTGTCTTCATCCTGTATCAGAAAAAAATCCTCCTTTTTAAACACCTGCTTGAAAAATAAATCTCTAAACACACACACACACACACACACACACAAAATCACCTTTTCCCCCTAATCTTTAAATCCTCATACTATGATTTTACCTTCTGGCATTATCTCCTCTAGCATGAGATTAGAGCATATCTTTTTTTTAAATTAATTTTTAGCTGATACATAGAAACATAAAAAACTGTACATATCTAGAGGTTAACAGACAAGAATTTTTGGAGAAGACACTGAAAGCACAGGAAACCAAAACAAAAGTAGACAAATGGGATTGCATCAAACTAAAAAGCTCCTGCACATCTTTTGATACATATTTTTCTTATCAGTGTTCTGGTATTTTCTGTACCTACTTATATAAAAGTCTTCAGTTTAATATATTATTCAATGATAGCATGTTAAAAATCCTTCTTTTTGCACTTTTATTTATTTTTAATTTTTGTTGGGGGGGGGGTAATAGGGATTGAATTCAGGGGCACTCGACCACTGAACCACATCCCCAGCTCTATTTT